GCCTTTTACAGTTAACTACTAGAACACTATTAATATTTTCAATTTTTTTTTTTTTTTTACACAGGGCCAGAAATTCAAAGCTGACCTTCTACAAAGTGGTCAAATTCGCTGGGATGGAACCAAGCATTTGTTTAACTCACCTAGTGCCTGGGCAATACACGTTAAAAAGCTTATTAACCCTGACAAGAAGTCTGGATGTGGTTGGGCATCAGTAAGTAGGGCCTACTGTCAACATAAACACATGTGGTCAATAGTTATTTTGTTCGTGTTCTTGTCTATGTAGCTGTTTGTTTTATTGTGTAAATGGTAAATGCATTTCAACTTGACAAAACTGCAAATACCCACTTAAATATTAACAATCATTTTTTTTTTTGGAGGGTTGGAGGTGTCGCAAAATAATATATAGACAAAAGCTTGCTGTGAACTACAAAGGCTTTTAAACAGCAAAATATTCACTTTCACGAGGCCATATTCAAATTCTTTGAAATGGAAACAATGCAATAAAATGTTATTGCCTGCATATTAACACTCAAAATACAGATTTGCAATTGCTCTGTAAACTACAAATAATTATGCAAATTTCACAATAAGAGATTACATGAAAGAATATTTTAAAATTATAATATCCACCATAAAAATTATATTACATGTTAAATTCACCTGCTAGTTTTCTAAAGTAAATGTCAAAGGTTGTGTTAAAGATCATAGGTTGTAGTATGTCAAGGGCTTTCACAGGGAGCTCTCGATTTCATGACGACGGTAGAACTTAGAACAGTGTGATGTCACTAAGAAGTCATCTGTGCATGCAAGAAAATTTAATTCTTGTTGTCGTCTGAAGCCTCCTAGGATGCAGTATGGCCCAAATCTATGTTTTGCAGAGAACACAAGAACTGTCACGGATGAGTGAACCTGTTTTAGAGTTATGTCGTCATGCTAATTGAAAACTCTCAACTAAATGTCAGTGGTTGTGTAATAAAGATCTAGGATTGATTAGGATTATACAGTAGCAATGAAAGAGGCATGGAATAGACATAAAGGAATGGTGTTATAAATACAGCATCCTGAAAGATACAGTGAATGATTTCCTGTAAAGTTCTATAAAAATCATTTTATGATATTTTTTTGTTTTTCTTGTAACTTTTCCAATCTGTGTGTATTTACTCTAAATGAATCCAGCAGTTTAATTTTATTTCTTTTCCCTTTCCAGGTTAAATATCAAGGAAAGAAGTTAGATTTAGTTAAATCCATTTGGTACAGAAAAGTGGGACAAAAATTATCAGGATTAACACCACCCTTGGTAAAGTTTGTTTTTTTCTCCTTTATTATAGTTTTATAAATATATAAGTATTAAATTCTACTGCACAGTGCAGTTCATTGTACAGTATTTAGTATTCCGCTGAAAGCGTGTATTGTCTTGTGTGCGGCATCGTGTTTTTTTTCCCCATTCTTCGCAACATTAAAAGAGAACTAGCAAAATGATTTTTTGTTCTAGAGCGGATTTTTGATATGCCATTAATAATAGAATCAACCTTAAAATCGTTTTTTTGGCTATTTTTTATGAAGTTACAGGCGATTATATACAATTTTACCATGATGTCACTGGCGAAAAAGTAACAAAAGATTGTGTAAATAGCGCCGCGTAGGGTATCCACCGTGTAGGGTATCCGCCGCATACGATCTTTGCGTGCATGCTGTAACAATCACAATTTACAGCCATGGTTACAGCATACACGCAAAGACCGTACGCGGCGGATACCCTCTCTAGAACAAAAAATCATTTTGCTAGTTCTCTTTTAAAACCATCACAATATAATAGAATTCTGTATTTTGCCTTCACTACAGTAAAGTCCTGTCCAGACTATCAAATTGTATTTGACAAAAACATGTGACATAACTAAATATGGTCATGATGACATCACATCATGACCATATATAGGAACATCATGACTATATATAGGCATATAACAGTTTTTTGTCAAAGAAAATCTGATACAGTAGTGTGGACAGAGCTTAAAAGGCTCTATAAATACAGGTTTTCCTTCTAATTAATGACCACCTCCAATTAAAGACCTCTCCAACTAATGACCACCTCCAATTAAAGACCACTTTTCTGTGGTCCCGTATTAACAAATGTTTTTTATCTTTATTATTCTAATTAGAGATCAAAGCTCTAGAGACCATTTAAACCCTGGTCCCAAAAGTGGTCTAATTTTAGCGAGACCTAAATAATTGTTCAGTTGAACCTCTTGGTTAAACTATAAAGATACTGAATTTTGACAAATGTTATAGAGTACTGCAGTGTTACATCACGATACCACATGATACTACTCCGTTGCTATCGGCGTCACAAAATGGGTTCAACCGACACCATTTTCTCCACTGACCAACCATTTATCCCAATTTCTTTTTTTGTAAATGTAATTGATGATTAAATGTGTGTTCAATAACTAAAATAATGCAAGCTTTTTGTGTTTTTAGTACATTTTGATGGTAAATTATTAGGTTTTAAAATGCCAATTTCAGAAAGACATTAAGATTATGAAGTCATTCAGGCATAATGAACGGTAACCATCATCCAGAGGGCGCCACCAAATAAATGTTATTTTTACTTAGAATATTGTAATTTAAAGATAAATATAATAATTTGAAATTGTTCCTTTTTGAAATAGACGCCTTCCTCTGAGCTGAATTTGTCTATTGAAGAAAATGGTGACAATGGCAATTATTCCGATTCAATGGAAATACTTGAAAGCAATGGAGAGAGTAATGGAATGGTTGATAATGGAGGAGCAGTGGATCTTAGAAGTGAAGCAACAAAAGCTAGATCACCAACACAGGAAGTTGATGCTACAGAACAGTATGATAATTTCAGTTTGTTTATACAGTACCTGTATATATGTGTGTCACTTTAGTCATTTTGCCTTAGATCGATGGCAACAAAAACTTTATTTCTAAAAGTAGACATTCTTTCAATGTACAGCAGCTTAGCTAAAGTCAGCTAAACTAACTGGTGGTAGCCACGGTGTGTGCGCTGAACCGTGGAGATCTCTTGATCCCCGGTTCAATTCCCATCACTGCTCTCCTTGCGTTTCAGCTGGAGGGCTGAAGTGTAAGTTATGATAGCGCACTGCAGTAATCTATTCGGAAAAGTAAGGGATTGTCTCCTGGTGTACTGCCCAATTCACTACCAGAAGGATTTGCTATATTTGCTTCAGTCGAACAAATCGGTACATAGTTTAACTGTAATTTTTTTGGTTTTTAGTTAAGTTAATAAGTCTGTAAAGTAAGTGTCCACCCACCCTTAAAATGTCTACCAATGTCTGTATGCTTTGCATTAGCCAAACTGATCAGGTACATGGTTAGTTTAACTATAATTGGTTTTGTTCTTAGTTAAGTTAAACAAGTCGGTAAGCAATAGTTAAATCTGTATGCTTTGCATTGGTCAACTGATCAGGTACAATGTTACTGTAGTTTAACTGTAGTTTTTGTTGTTCTTTAGACAAGTCAGTAAGCAATAGTTAAATCTGTATACTTTGCAATGGTCAAACTGATGAGATACAACGTTATTTTAAATGTAGTTTTTGTTGTTCAGTAGGTAATTTAAACAAGTCGGTAAGCAGTAGTTACATCTGTATGCTTTGCATTGGTCAAACTAATCAGGTACAATGTTAGTTTAAATGTAATTTTTTTTTGTTAAGTTAAACAGGGTGGGAAGCAATAGCTAAATCTGTATTCTTGGCATTGCTCAAACTGACCTTGTAAATGTGTCATAATCCATTGCAAGATGCAAGATGATATTGAAAATGTTTTTATCTTCCTTATCTCAGAAAAATGGATAAAGAGAAGAAAGGAGAAACAGAAGCTGTAAAATTGCAGAATGATGGTAAAATATTATGATCACTAATTTTTTTTCTTATGATTATGTAATATATTTAAATAATGTTTATAATAAGCTCAGGGGATCATCACCAAAGATAAAGGGGCTGGTTTATATTTCCAGTACACAGCAGGGGCGGATCCAGAGGTGTCCAAAAGTGGGGCCGATCGAGATAACACTACCCTAGGGTGTTTGGGGGGCAACCCCCGGTAAATTTTTTTTTTTCTAGGCGCCCGAAAATAACTTTTAAAGGATTTTTGGGCAATTGTTTTTTCTTTTTCTTTTTTTTTTTTTTTGTTTTGCTTTCCAAATGTGGAAAATCAGCTTTAGACTGGATGGAACTCTTCAAGGCTGGGTGGCCCTACCCATTCCCACCCACCATAACTACATCCCTGCTTACACTATTAATTTAAAAGATTTTGTCTCAATACATGCTTAGACATCTTGGAAAAGCTTAAATTAGCCCAAAGTTGTCCAGTTTCTTTAAGTACTGGGGGAAAGGTAGTGGGAGTCAGAAATGTTCACACTACCCTGCTAGACAGCTTATAATAGAATAAGATATGGTGATATAAATCCTAAATTTTAGATCTGGAAGAATTTTAAAGATGTTTTTGCTTTAAATGTTTAATATGCTGCATAGATTAATTCTATGCGCTTGCAAACAATTAAATGTTCACATTAGGTGCAAATTGAATCTTAATTATGATTTTAATTCCCAAATATTAACTTCTATTGATTGTTTTTCTTAAAATTTTTTTTTTCTAGACAAGCATAACAATGAAAACGGAACAAATGAAAAACCAAAGATTATTAAGTACTCCATGTTACCAAAGGAAAAATCAAAGCTGTAAGTTAGGAATAAAATCATCAATACTGTATTCAATAAAAATAAAGTTGTCATCAGACAATCATCAATATTATTTTTAAATTACTTTTCAATCATTATTTCCATTTTTTCCAAATTCATTCCTTAATCTCTAAGCTTGGTTTTTAGCAGTTAAGGCCAAGTAAAACAAGTACACTTGTACTCCACCCACTATTGCTGCTGCCTATATTTTTTCATATACCGTATTTATTCAATAAATGCCCCACTTTGCATAAACGCCCCTCTCGAATAAACACCTCCTCTAGAGCCTCATTTGGAATAAACACCGCCCTCGAATAAAACCTTTTATGATTTTTGGTCTTTATGATGATGCAGTAATTATGTGTTGCACTTCCATATTTACAGTAAATTTAAGGGGCATTTATTTGAGGATTTACCTATCCATTTTACACCGCAAAAAATAAACGGCTTCCACTATTAAACAACTCCCTTGAATAACTTACGTACTGCCCATTATGCCTAGTAGGCACGTAGGGAAGCAACAAAAGTCCTCCACTCTGCTCTGTCCAAGGCCAGACACTGTAGCATTCCCCAGGTGTGATTCAGATCCCTCATTTCTCTTTCCACCGTCCTTCTCCAAGTGATCTTCGGTCTCCCCCTCCTCCTCTTCCCTTCTGGAGTCCAGTAGAGTGCCGTTTTGGTAATGCTTCCCTGTTCTTTCCTTAGCACATGTCCAATCCATCTCAAACGCTGCCTTTGTATGATTGTTTCCATGCATTCCAATTGGCATCTGTCATAAAGTTCTTCATTTGATATGGTATTTGGCCAAAATATGCGACAAGGATTTATTGTGGAAGACTGATATTTTTTTTGCGGAGGTCATTCTTTGTCATCCTCCAGCATTCTGACCCTTACAAAAGAGTTGAAAGGACACAGCTTTGATAAATCTTCAACTTGGTTTTGGTGCTGAACTGTTGTGATTTCCATATAGGATTTAGCATAGAGAATGCAGTTCTTGCTTTGTTTAAGCGGTTCTTTATGTCTACTCCTGCACCTCCATCTTGTGTTACAATACTTCCAAGGTAGGTGAATTCATCTGTTGTTGGAAGATCTTCTCCATATGCCTGTATGCTTTGTGGGTTTTGAACATTAAGTGTCATTACTTCTGTTTTCTTTTGATTAATCTTCAGGCCAATTTGGTGTGCAAAGTCAGTTAGGTGGGATGTCTTCTCCTGCATGTGCTGATGAGTATGGGTCACCAGAGCCAGATCATCTGCAAAATCTAGATGAGTTGAGAATAGTGACCATCTAATACCCCTTTTCTGATCTGCAGTAGTCTGTCTCATTATCCAGTCAATAGCCAGGTTGAAGAGTAACGCAAACGTAACGCACCCTTGTCTCACCCCAGTTCTCACCTCAAAGCTAAAGTCACTATTCCCAACCTTGCATATGAAATTGTTGTAGAAGCACTTGATAATAGTTACTACATGCTGGGGAATGCCGTAATTGCGTAAAATTCTCCACAAGCTGTCTCGGTGTAAACTGTCAAAGGGTTTTTGAAAGTCAACAAAGTTAATATATAGTTGTCTTTGCCATTCTGTGCATTGTTCGATAATATTCCGTAAGGCAAAAATCTGGTCGAATAAACATCCCCTTAAAAACCCTTCTCAACAATAAATGTCCCTGCCGTTTGTTAGAATAAGTACCGTATTTAAATAAAAATTACCAGCAATTCAATTCCTCAGACCTTTCTCTCTTTATCTAACAACTGAACTTATCTGGTTTTTTTTTTTGTTTTTTTAAATTTTTAGTCCATCAACAACACAAGTAAAAAGTGTACACTTTGAGAAAATTGGAAAAATTCAACCATTTACTGTTTCCATAACAACTAACTGCCTGATGCTAATGGTGAGCGAATTTCTTGGTTTTATCTTCGTAAATTACATGGTCGTGCTGTAGGTGTTAATTGAATATATTTCTTTATTTTTGTGTTTAGGATTTTCATTGCCACTTAACAACAAGTGAAGTCGTAGGTTATCTTGCTGGTAAATGGAATAATCAAACACAACGTAAGTTAAGAGATTATGTCGTCCTCTTTTTTTATTTATTTATTAAACAAATCAACAGTAAACACAAATCCGCCACTTACAGAATGGTACACACGACAGGAAACAACAAACACAAACAAAGAAAACACTTGATTAATCACATCCAAAATGGTATGACGAAAATAGGTAGGTCAAAATTAAAAATATCAATATTGGGATAGGCCTCAACTCAATTATTATAAGATATACTTGATCTACTAATAAACCCATTTTTTTAATGGGTTTAATAAACCCATTTTTATTGTTATTTAAGTTGAATGTAGTGATCATGCTGTAACAATAGCCCCTTGTTTACGTAAATGTACGTAAAAATGTGCGTTTGACTCCACATGTGTAAAGATACGTGCATATTACTGACCCTGTTCTGATTGGTCAGTTGTTGAGTTTCATTGAAACATTCACATTTTTGTCCCGTGTCCCAAAATAAGTATACATGTACAAACATGCCTTCTTGAAATGTAGTCAAGTCGCGTATCACCAAAATGGTGTGTCTAATATGTGTGAAAATATTAGGGGATGTGTAAACTTGTCACTTGCAATGGGACAGTACTTTCTATAGCCTCTGCCAAGTGCGAGTTTTCTCGTTTGCTTTTTGCATGGGGTGGTATATGTTCAGAGGGCACTTTCACTCGTGCAGTTTTTTGTACTGCCAGCCACATTACGAAACAAACATATGTTATTTGTACATTGTCGACTAGGTGTACATTCCCCGAACTATCAGCCGTTACGTCTGTGGTTCTACAAATTTATAACAATAAAGTAATAAACGCTAGAATGTTACCGTGATTTTTTAGCGCCCTCAGCAACACCCTGTGGGACGAGTATTCTCGTGTTAATATTCCAGAAAGGTTCATTGGCAAGTCTGGTTGTTGGAATGCGAACGATTTATAAAATACATTTCAATATTGTTATTTATTAGATATGACAGTACTACAAGCATTCCCATGTAAATGCAGGCTTGGTGATAAGGAAAATGCAGCACTAGTTGAAACTATGGTAAGAAAGAACATAAAGAAAATATAATCAGTTACAAATTTGATTTATTAAAAACACTGGAAAAGGAACTTTGGCAGTTATTTTTTTATTACTCCCATGAGACTATAAGGAGAACTTCCAAATGATGTGTAACTTCACTGGCATATATTCTAAGGTAATAATATAAAATGTGATAACTTTTATTGTATAATCACAAAAATTAGAATGGTTTTCATTTGGAGATATATTGCACCCTACAATTCAAGACCCCTCTAATTCCGAGACCCCTTTAATTCCGAGACCCCTTTAATTTGAAACCACTTTTCCAAAGACCCAAATAACAATCTTCAACCTTTTAACACAAAGCTAATCCTCTAATCGGAGACCAAACCTCCAGACCACCCCAAATTTTCAGGTTTCAAAGGTGATCTCGAATTGGAGGGCGAACTGTACATACATGCCACAAGTTTTTTAAAAAGAAACAACTGTAGAATGTCTTGTACTACATTTGCTTCAGATTCAGCGTGACATCGCATTGAGAGGTCTTTCCCTAATTGGATGGTATCATAGTCATCCGAAGTGTGATGTGGAACCCTCTGTCCAAGACATCAATTGTCAGATGCAATATCAGCTAAAACTGAAGGGAGAAGGAGCGTCGTACCAGCCGTGTCTTGCCATGATCTGTGGTATCTATACACTTTTTGCTTTATAACCTCTTACTATAGGCCTTCTAAGTGTTATTTAAGGAAAGGATACAAGTATTTTTAGTGATAAACATAATTCATTATTTTATTTCACTCAAAACTGGTAGGCAAAATGGGAACATGTCCCTGTACAAGATGCCTACCAGAGAAACAATGATTATAGCGAGAATATCAACAACAAAAATAGTAAAAAAGAAATAAGAAAAGATAAAAAGTAATAATTATAATAATACTGTAATAAGATTGTAATAATAAAAGACCATAATAATAATGAAAAATAATAATGACAGATAAACATAACAATTATAATTGTATTGAAATAAATAAATAATAAAAAAAACCCCAAAAAACAGCACTAACAATAACCAACTAAATCCAAGGACCTGTTTCCAGTGGGTCCTTCTGGTTGTGAATTAGGCAGTAGAACAGGAGAAAGCCCAATACTCATTTGTGCCACTGCATTTTTTAATGTGCTCATGGGTCATGGTGTATTGCACATGGTACCAACATCCTCCAGCTGGAACACAAGGACACATTACTGAATTTTCATTTTTATATTTGCAGGACCTTATAGGGATGATTCAAAAAGTTCCAAAATAAGTGCATTTTGGGTGATGCCTTCAAAAGAGGTATGTAACATTGCTAAAGCAAATAACTGATTGTATTTTGAAATCTTGTTTTGAGATTACATGAAGATCACACCAATGTGTTTATCACAACATGCAGAGAAAATTTATCTGGAAATTTAACAGCAGAATATAATGACACTGTGTTGAGATGTAGGATGTATTATGAAGTACACTTTCAAAATAATGATTTTGATCAGCATCAATATCAACATCAACATCATCTGTTCATCGCCAAGCACAGACAAAATTTACTCTAAAAAAATCAGAGCTGAAAATAATAATGTTGTGTCGAGATGCTGAATTTTTGTATTAGGAAGTATTTTAAATTATGATTTTGATCAGCATCAGTGACATAATAATCTGTATGTATCATGGCTACTGACAACATCATAATCATAATTTTTACCATCTGTCAACATCATCCTCATCATCATTATAATCATAATCAATATCACCATCATTTCTATAAGTCTTAAAATTTGTATTGTTATTATTTATATTCTTTTTTATCATTTTTATCTTAGTTATTTTTACTTATTCACTACACTTACATTGACATGTTTATGATTATATAATTTTACATTAAAATTACAGTTTAGATAATAGTATAAATACATATTCTATGTTATCTTTCTTGTTCTTAAAGGAGCGAAGCCTTGATTTAGGAATGCCAATGGCGATGAAGGTCAGCCAGCAACAAGATGTCTTCCTCACCCAAGATGTCTTGCAAGAAATGGTGAGATTGAGACAGAGAATGGGGATTGGGGTGTCAGAGAAAGGAGAGGGAGGGAGGGAGTTAAATGGATCTTGAGAGAGAAGACGGTGGTGGGAGTAATTTTAAAGAAGAGGCAGGGGTTTTCTTGGAACTTTTGTAAATGGTTACATTTTCAAGATGATTTTATTATTTCTTTTAAATTGTCTTTTGATTTAATTTTAATCTTTTGACATTAATAATGTACATATAATAAAGATTAAAGTCAGGCTCCGGAGGAAAAAAAATTTTTTGATATGTTGTAGAACTGATTTTTCTAAGACAGAAAAATGTTGTTTGACGAAAAACTGGGGAACGGTGAACGAAATACAGATTTTTGAATATTTAAAAACTGGGGGAAAAAGGGGCGTAACCGCCCATTTTTACACCTTTTTCCCCCAGTTTTTAAATATTCAAAAATCTGTATTTCGTTCACCGTTCCCCAGTTTTTCGTCAAACAACATTTTTCTGTCTTAGAAAAATCAGTTCTACAACATATCAAAAATTTTTTTTCCTCCGGAGCCTGACTTTAAGAAGTGTATATGTTGAACATAGAGAGTTGGGGGATACACAATAGTTGATAACCTCAATCAAAAGATAAGCATTATGCAAATACTCAACAAAAACAAGATACAATCAAATAATTGTTTCTAATTTTCCTGTTGTATGTCTATTTTTAATGTTTTTCTAATGTAGTTTTTAATATTCTATAGTGCACTATATCTTTTAATGATTTGTAAATTTATAATTGATGATTGTTCCTATATTTGTACTTTTGTAATTATATATTCAGTCATATAATTCAGCATATACTTTGCAATGGACTGTTTTTGTATGTGATTTAAATGTAAATGTTTTATATTTCCAGAAAATGTTAGCAGAATTTTACAAAGATGCAAATGATGCTATCAAATTTAGTGATAAATGGCATTCATCTACAACGTATCTACACAAATTTAAGGTAAGCTGGTGAGCGGTATGTTGGCTGAGAGATATTGTTCCTGCTTCTTTTGCTGAAGACATCGGTTTATTATTATTATTATTATTATTATTGTTTATTATTATTATTATTGTTATTATTATTATTATTATTATGATTATTGTTATTGTTGTTTTTATTGTTTGTTTTTGCAAAGTTCCAAATATTTTTTTATGAATGTTTGTTTTTTAACTAATCATTAGTTCTTTATTAATTTTAGTTACTCATTTTTTAGCTATTACACAATGAATAATAAACCAAATGTTCATCTTAAATTTTTTTTAACGTGCAATAATATAAAGTTGTTTAAATTCACCAATCAGATTCATCAGTATTAATATTTGACCAGAATTATGTTTTTGGCTGGCTATTAAAAATAAATTTCTATAATTTTTTTTAGGGTTCTTTGACTGATAAGCTGCCTAAGGATAACTCAGATGGGAGGCTCTTGCAATACATTGAATCCTTAATCATATAGTGTTAACCTATGCCAACAACAGTGCAGTTCTGTGTTTACTCAATACCATTCCTTTTCAAAAGATAGGATTGTGACTTCCTTCATTGATTATGATTCCTTTTATAGTAATTCCAACTTGACACTTGCCATACCTCAGAGCTAATGTGTAGTAGTGTGTATGGAGGTTTGTATGTGTGTGTGGGTGGGTGTGTGTGTGGGTGAGAAGACATCTATGTGGTATGCTGGTGTGTATGTCTATTTATTGTGGTGTGTGGATGTGTTTGTTTGAATGTTTGTTATGAGAGTATAAGAAATAATTTGTTTAATGGTTTAAACATTACAGATGATTATATTACTTGCTATGTAAGTATTTTTGAGTTATTTTCTGAGGTATCCTGTCACTGCTTCAAATCTATTAGAAAATCTTTAAAAAAAATTCTGAGTTTAGTTAATTTGTAAACATCCACAGTAATTATATAAAGTAATATTTGAATGTTATGTAATATTATTGATGTAATATTTCATTTAATGCCCTCCTTTTTTGTGTTTACTTTTTAGCCTATACTGTATTTATTTTATGTTCTTTGTTGTATTTTTTTCATCACTTACAATTTCTAGGGTTTTTTCATATTTATTATGACAGTTGTTAATACAAATCACTGCACCATATGAATACTAATTAGTATTTGACTGTACTTTTCAAACCTTGAAAAAAAATGACCTTCTAAAATATGCTCTGTATATATCTTGAAATTTTTAAAAGAAAATTGAAATGAAGTACTGTACCTCAGACTATGCACTTTCCATTTACATGGATGTTATTATTAATCTTGATGACTTCTGGAAGTAAATACAATTCTGTCACTATTTTTAATAAAGAGAGATGTTATCCATTGATATAGTAAACCAAAGATTACTTGAATATTTCTCCCAAGAACGATGTATCTATGCATAAGAGATTCAGTAGATGTGACATTTAGTGTAAATATTTATAGGTAAAAAGCTGTATAAAATGGGATTAGGGTTAAAGGTTAAGCGATAGCTCTTTGTGTTAATTTTATGATTTTGATAAAACTGGCATTAATCCAGGCAATTATTTTGAAATGTAAATACTTGTATCCTGTTTTTCATGTTGAAATTGGTTTGGAATTTTGTGCATGCCAAAATAGACCTATCCAAGAAGAATGGCGCCCTCTGTAATGGCGCCGACATAGAGGGCGACACTCAAAAATGCTCACTTGGATAGGTCTAAGGTGTGATATGACATAATCATGCCCATATTTGGACAGCATACGCTCACTTTCACAAGCTTTTTTTCACATCAACACTCACCAGTTTCAGATTGGCACTGCGATCATTGGCAACAGTTTGACTATTACCGGAGCTAGTTACCTTTTTTATTCTGTTAACTATGTGCTCTTCAAAACTAACATTTCGTCATTGTATGGGATTTTTTTTTTCTTTGCTCTGAAGACTTTGGAATAACTTAATTGTTCCTAAAAGGTAATCATTCTATCCTACTTGCAAGTTATACAAAAATGGACAATAGAAGTCAGTAATGATCCATGTAATGAGTTTAAGGATTGAATCATGATTTGAGTTAAAGATCTTAGTGCATATTTAGAACTGCTTCCATGTTTTGTCACCCATTTATTTTCAGGACCTTGTTAAGATATTTGACACAGGTTACCATGATCCTCTCAAGATTCTGCTCATCTCGCCATCCCCATAACAAAAAGATTGTTTAGTGATAGGTCATTTTCTCTAATTATGCCTAAGTTATAAAACAGCCTGCCAACCAATGCGTGTGATGCCCTACAGTAGCGTGAAAGGGTTTTACAAACTTCTTAAAACGTGTCTCTTTCCAAAGGAGTAGGTTTTTTTTATATTTTTGTGCTGCTCTTTGTTAAATTGTTAATTTTCTCCTTTTCTGAGCAATTCTTTATTTCTTGTGTTTTTCACTTTGCACAGTGCTTTGGTGTGTGTGGAAAAGGACTTAATAAATCCTGTAATAATAATAATACTGTAACTTCTTTAAACGTGTCCCTTTCCAAAAGAGTAGGTCTTTATTATATTTTTGTGCTGCTCTTTGTTAAATTGCTGTTTTTCGCCTTTGGTGAGCAATTTTTTTTCTTTTGTTTTTCAATATATACAGTGCTTTGGTCTTTGTGGAAAATGGCTTAATAAATCCTGTATTAATAATAATGTAATTGGGGGATATGGGTGGGTTTTAATTTTTTTTTATTGTATTTTAGTACATCTGATAAATATTTGGTATAATTTACTGAGTTTTGCTTTGGCAGGTTGGTACTTGCATGATACACATACTGTATGAAAGTACTGTACTAGTAAAATTAATGCAATGCAGGGTTCTTTATTTGCACTTTTTTACTAATTGTCAAAAAGTATTATCTAGAAAAACTTGATCCACAATAAAAGACTATATTGCTAGGTGTAATAATTAATTTAATTTTTTTTTTAAATAATATATTGATAGTATAGCTTTTACGTTACACTCTCCATTTAGTTAAGAACATTTTGGACTGAAATTTGGTTTCCATAAAGAATTGCACAAGATAAGTGTTGAGAGGGAATCATTCATGAACTGAAAAAATAAATAGAAGTACAGTAGTCTCTTGATTTTATGGCCCTTAAGCCAGGCTCCAGGGATGCGGTGGGTTGGGGTGGAATTAATATGTTTCTAAGAACCCGAAGGGGTGTTTGACAAAGTTAGTTATTTCATAATATACAGATTAGTTATTTCATAATATACAGATTTTTAACTATTTAAAAGCTGGGTGAAATGTTATTAATATCAATTTAATATTATATTTACCAGCAAACAATCATATCTTCGGCTTAAATGCATGGTAATGCTTAAGTCATTATTTATAAACCACGCCTAGAATAAATGCTGAAATTTCATTTTAATTATATAAATAAAAATAGGAAAATACGTTGCTAATGAGCATTTTTGTTTTCACTTACACATTCAAGTCTGCAATTGCTGGATCCTTAAATCTGTGTTAAATATTTTCAAACTGGGCGAATCCTCAACCTTGTGCATAAGAAGGATGTTCGTTATATATTTTTTAATTATTATATTGTAAATGTTAATGCCATAATTGTTACTTTACTAAGATGAAAACGTTGAGTTAAACTTGACAACAGTGTTGTAATGATTAAAATGTGCCTTCATAATGTATTTTTCGTCAGCTTCCGATTTTTTTCAATTTTATACAGTACAGTACTCAATTCGCGCGTAAATCGGAAAGGCGTGTACACGCATAATTTCTTACGCGCACCGTAAAACCATGGTAAAACCAACTCCACGGCAACATTGTTGTTGTTTCCGCAGATGCAGCACATTGAACAGCTTTCACAATTTACTTTAGCAAGTTACATAAATTCCTTATCATTATTTATAGGAATATACATGAAGACAAGGTAGGTCTACAGCAAAATAATTTTACCAAAGTAGTGTTCCAATATTTTTTTTTTCTATAATTGCATGCGCTAACAAACATTTAGCTTGTGTTAACAGTCTGTTTTCGTTTCATATCCTGTTTGTTGAAAAACATGATTTATTGTCAATCAAAATCGTAGTAAATAGTGTTAAATGCTGTTAACGCCTTTAATAACGTCCCATCAGGACGGTAGTGCATATAGGATTATATAAAGATATCAATAAAAAAAAAACCATGAAAAAGAAATGATCAGACAATTGGTTTATGTTTAGATTAGATTCATATTTTTAACGTCAGTCATTAATCTGTTCTGTCAGTCTACAAATCAACAGTCCGGTAACCATGAAAGATAAACAACAGACAAACGAGAAGTACAAGCAACAATATGATTTCATATACAGTATAAGATTAGTGTTACATCAAATACAACATCAAAGCGGAATAATTCTTTTTAGTGACTTGCTGATTCCATTGACTTTTATGGATATATTTTCTTAATAATTGCTAGTTAAATAATTAATGAAATGTTTGATATTAATTTTTGTATGTTCTGTGCAGGTCTTTCATTAAAAAAAAAAATGCTCAGTTCAGCCGTCGGCTGCTAAGGAATATTAGCTGGCCATTATTTTTTAGCATTCAGTACGATGGCAGAGCTCTGTACGTAACATGGCTTCATATTGCGCCCTCTACATATACTCAAGTTGCGCGAAAATCTGTAAGGCGTGTACACGCGTAATTTCATATGCGCACACTGTAACCAACTAGTATCCAAGACAACATTGTTGTTTTCGCGCCTCATCATACGATCAGACATGCAAAAAGCAGCCGCATATTAAAAAGCTTTCGCAATTTATTTGAGCATGTTTACATAAATTGATCATAGAGGAACTTTATAAATGAAGACAAGGTAGGCCTGAAGTATGTAAAATTTTATCAATGTACGCTAACCAAGAAAGATTTTTGCCGTGCACTTCTTTTCATAACACATTATGTTCTTTATCTTTCTTTCGTTAACATCAAGTGTCCAGTCTGTTTACTTTTTGTATATCATGTTTTTTTAGATGACGCGATTTAATGTTAATCAAAATCGTAGGAGATATTGTTAAATGCTGCTGCTAACGCATTATACAACGGCACAAACCATAAGGACGAGATATAATCAAAACTAACAACAATGAAAAGGAAATGTTCAGACGTCAAGGTTTATGTTTAGATTGGATTAATATTTTTCACGTCGGATATTTGTCTGTTCTGTCAGGCTACAAATCAACAGCCCAATAACAATGAATAGGTTTGAGCATGGAGAAAATAGTTCAAGCAACTGGGAAACATGATTTCAAGCCTTGTATCAGCACATTCAGAAAGAGGGAGAGAAATAAGTCCTTCCTCAATTCAGCTGTCGGCTGCTAAGGAAACTGGCCATTATTTTCATACTTTAATGTTTTAAATAATACCGATATATATGTGTATATAGGCCTAGATAGATAGATAGACAGACAGACAGACAGACAGATAGATAGACAGACAGATAGATAGACAGACAGATAGACAGACAGATAGGCCTGGATATAGATAGATAGATAACAACATTAGGTCTCTTAACGAAAGAAGATTTGCAGAAATTAAATGGGTTTTGAAACTTAGAACTCATAAAATAGGACCTAATTAAGGACCTAGGTTTTGCTTCAGGCTTCACATTCACTAAATAAAGTTTAATTACTCTATTGAATTACATAAGTAATATTTAATATATAATTACAAAAGTACAAAGCCTCCCTGTTCATTCTTATTTTTAGTAGGTCTATGACGTTTGAAACAGAAAGTCCTTTCTAAATATAGAAAACGCGACCACTGTTTTCTTTTTTCTTTTTTTTTAACGCTTGTGACTAATATGTAGTATGTCTGATTGCCTGCTCCTGTGCTGATTTCAAGCAGCAACACTTAATGCAAATGGACTCAATGAAGAGAAAAGAACTGCGCTTTTAACCTCAAGAGGAACAGGCGCATTATAAATGCCCATACTGAGTTACCAGTACCAGTGCAAATATACTGTATGCAGTGGCGTATCTAGAGTCTTGAAATAATTCATGAACTCACTAGATGTTCATATATGGAAGTAGTCTCCTAATTTTCTAGTCCATAAGCTTGTCCCCATAAGTGGGGGAACGGTGGGTGGGCTTGGAATTGATATGTTGTATAGCTTTTCTAAGAACCTGAAAGAGTTTTTGACGAAACTGTTCATAAGATACAGATTTATAAACATTAAAAAGTGGGAGGAAAGTGTTATGTATTTGCCAGTAAACAATGATATCTTCACTTTAAATTCATGGATATGTTCAAGTCATTTATAAATAACGTCTACAATAAATGCTGAATTTTCATTTTAATTATCTTAATAAACATAGGAAAATACCTTGCTAATTAACATTTTTGTTTTGACTTTACACTCCAGTATGCAAGTACTGGATTTTTAAAATTGCGTTAAATATTTTCTAAGCTGAGTGAATCCGCTAATTTGGTGTGCATAAGAAGCATGTTCATTATATTTTTGAAAATTATTAGGCCTACTGTATGTTGTGAATGTTCACTGTGAATACTGTTTCCAGAGAGCCCCTATAACTTTATGGCCGGGCTTCAAAGTGCTGGAGAACGGAGCAGTGGAAATTATTCTTCTGCCATTCATGCCGTTTTTCGTTATTGGTTTTCTTTGTAGTATCAGGATATTTCATGGTTATGTTTCTTTTTTTTATGTAAAGACTTATTATTACTTAGTTGAACGAAATCAACACCATAATAAATAAGGTAATGATGATCAAAATGTGCCTCTATATTGTTTTTTTTTTTTTTTTTTTTTTTTTTTGGTCTGCTTTTTTTATTTGATGTCCGATTATATTTTTTTCTTTATTATATATAAATACAGATAGGCCTACATTTGCATTCTCAGTGATTAAATCAGACGTGTAGAGATTACTTGTTATTGCGCCCTCTACATAATACGCAAGTTGTGCGTAAAGCGAAAAGGCGTGTAGAAGCGTAATTTCTTACGCGCACCGTAACCAACTAGTATCCAAAGCAACATTGTTGTTGTTTCCGCCTCATCATCAGACGATAACACTCAAAACGCAACAGTAGCACACTGAGAACAGCCTTCCATCAAAGTTGAGTAGGTTTGCATATAAATTTGTAAATTTATCATAAGGGAATATAAATTAACAGTAAAACAGTTTTATCAAAAGTAGCTGACCAAGAAAGAGATTTTTAATTTTTGCCGTGCACTTCTTTTTGTATTATCACTTGCTGCATTTATTTTGTTTTCTACGCCACTCTCGCTAACATTTATCAAGTAAGTGTTCTGTCGATTATATAACATCAATTTCAAACAACTGAAAATATCAATCAATACGTATTGTTGTGAGGTTTTGATACCTGTTTATCATTTCAAAAAATTGCAAAATATTTTTAGAATAAGTTTAAGTAGGCATATTATTTAGGTCTATGACATTCGGAACATACCTAAACTCTCTTTTCTAAATATAGCAAACGCCTACTACTGTTTTTTTTTTCTTTTTTTTTTTTTTCTTCTTCTTCTTCTTTCTTTCTTTCTTTCTTTTAAGGATTTATGACTGATATCTAGGCATATCAGCATAACTGAAAAGGAAAAACTGTTTCATGGTCTTCAACTTGTATTGTTTGTAGATTGAATTACTATATATTTTATTTACAACATCAAATTAGAATAATTATTTTTAGTAGTCCTTATGTATGCCTGAAACACTTTCGTTTTGCCTGGACGAATAAATTGTAAATACTGTAACTGTTTGGTAAATTAGGCTACGGTTTAATATCTGCAATATTTTTCAAATTGACATCTCCTTGATTTCTTGTTATATTAAGGCCAACTCAGACAGCGTCGGCCGACGCAGCCATTTGTTTGTCGCGTCGGGTCTGTGTGAGTTGAACGCAGACGCGATGGTGTGCGTCGGGGGCAGTCGCGTAGTAGAATATTAAACGTGTTTAATATTTCTTACGACGGCTAAAGACTGTCCCCGACGATAAATCGGGTCGGGCTGCGTCGGCCGACGCTGTTGAGTTGGCCTTTAGTCATTTTGTAAACTGTCATAAAAGTGTAATTTTCTAAAAATAGAATGGGAAACGCGTTTATGATTCAGACTCCCTTGTTATCCGCATTGATCGTTGACGCGGGAACAGTTACAAACGACTGGAACAATAGATTCCTCGACCTTTAAAACAGAGCGTGGTGTGGGGAGGCGCATGCAAGACTTCTATCACACGTCGTCGAACGAAGTATCGCTGGAAGTGTTCTGTCTGTCAGTGTTTGTGGATAGAATACTCATCAAAATGACTCGTACTACGGAATTACTGAAATTTTATCTCAAGGAAAATACCAATCTCTCTTCTGAAAAGATCGATGAAAGTAAGCACGACATAATTCATTTCAATATTTTGTATTTTGTTAGGGCTTAGATAGGCCTAGGTAGGCTAGCGGCAACTGCAGCAGGCATAACTTAGTCATAGGGCCAGGCCCAGCCCTTTCCCTGTATGGTATGGGGTAAAAATCAGATAAAAAGAATATCTAGGCCGAGGTATTAAACTTTAAAGAACCATCTTTTCGACGTGATATATTTGATCATGTTTATGCATGTTAACATATATATCTTAGGTTTACATATTTTTACCCATCAGATCAGAATTACTATGTAGGCCTAGCTAGGCTTCCTGGCCTGCTGGGTCTGGTGGCCTGAGGCCAGCCTAGAAGGTGATATGGTAGCTCTCAAAAAACTGTCCTGGGACCTAGTGGCCTAGGCAGGCATTGGTCTACGTAATAATCATAGATCAAAGAAGCTTTTTACAATCACATGAACAAATTTTTACTTTAGATTGCTACTTTTATTAGACCAAAATTGTATTTGCAGGACATTACCGGGCCCCTACATGTTTTTTTTTAATACATTAAAAATGAAATTAACGCAATAAAAAGTAAAGTTAAATTTAAGTCAAAAGAGTTTCATTTCCGGCCATCTAAACTGAGGCGGATGCATGGTGGTGGGGGGTGCATACGGTGCGATCACACCCCCAAAAATTGTATTTAAAAATATAATTGTATTGTAATGTTGAAATATTATTTTTTATTATTGTTATCATATGAAAGTAATATTGTTAACAGGCCCGTAACCAGCTTTGATAATGGGGGGTGGGGGATCTTTTTCAATCTGAGTGAACTTTTGGGGTCCAGGGGTTCTCTGGAAAAATGTTGAAAACCATTCCAAATGCTCTTCTGGTGTTTTTGAGCTGCTTTCAAATGAATTTATACAATTTTCGTGAATTAAATCTGAATCAATTTGATATGTGCAAATATTGAAGAATCATCATCATCATCATCTTTGTTTACTATGCAGAATGTCTTTTGAGTATAGTCACACAAAACTACAGTGCATGTCATAGGCTTATAAGGCCAAGGCACACATTGTGCATAAATCGCACTAAGTTGTGTTTTGTGTTGGTCTAGTAAGTAGAGCGGAACTCTCTATTCTGTGGGAGGATCGTCCGATCCCCCCACGGACCTGGTTAAGATTTTGAGTTTCATATTCTCAAAATTTTCTCTTGTTGGGGCTGAGATGGCTTGGACTCTCATGCACCCCCTACCACCAAATCCTGCATCCACCTCAGCAAGACATGTCATAGCCCTAAAATTTTCTACCTTAGTCCTGACCATAGTTGGGAGGTCCCACTCTACCTTTTATTTTTATATAACAACACATTTTATAAGAACACAGGCTGACATTGCTTAAAAGTTCAGAACAAATTGAGGCTGAGAAAAAATGTCAAATGAAGCTTTTAATTGCCTTATTTTCAGTAGGTGTAAGTAACTACGTATTCCTCTATAATATATACAGTACAGTAATATAGAGTACTACAGTGTTATGTCACGATACCAGATGATACTGTACTACTTCGTTGCTATCGGCGACACAAAATACGTTCAACCGATGCCATTTTCTCCACCGACAAACCATTGATCCCAATTTCTAACGTAATTATTAAGAAGTTGTATCTAAATTTTTCTTTGTAAATGTTAATTGATGATTAAATGTGTGTTCTATAACTAATATAATGTGAGCTTTTTGTGTTTTTAGTGCATTTTGATGGTAAATTATTAGGTTTTAAAATGCCTATTCCAGAAAGCTTATTCTAAACCATTAAGATTATGAAGTCATTCAGACGTAGGGGCATAATGAACGGTAACCAACGTCCAGAGAGCGCCACCTGGTGTTGTGACGACATGACTGTGGTACTCTATACTGCTGTACAATAAGAGTTTTCCATGTTTGAAAAGTGTAACAAAATAAGAACATTTTGAGCCTGAAGTTGTCAAAAAAATGTAAACACTGAGCATGGGTAAAATTTTACTGGTTCTTATAAAAAAGAAGTGTATTTTGTATTCCTAATATGTCCACCTCTGGTAGCTACAGTAGCTTGCCAGTTTGACCTATATTGTATTACAATACTGTACAGTATGCTTTCTATTATTCATTCTTGGTATTTTTATACAATTAAAAAATTTCAGAATAACCTGAAAAACTGTACAATTTTTACAACCGATACCTACTAAAAAATTCAAAATAAGAAAATTGTCTGGATGAATCACATGCATTGCGTAGAATCCACTTCTTTTGATGATGAAATATAATGAAAGAATTTTATTTAATTATATACAGTTTTTGTTCTAAATTTGTTATCGAGGAAACAGTCATAATACAGGAAAGTTATTGTATATTGTACTGTATCAGGAAATAATTCTTGGTAAATTTTATTATTCTCCAAAAGGTGCAGTATTGTGATATGTTTATAGTTAAATATACTTCCATGAACAGAATAATCAAAAAGGACAATTAGAACCTTTTAAGCAAAATACACAGACTACAGTATTGTTTCCCATGACCAACTTTTACCTGTCCTTTTTCTTCTTAACATTTTATTAGCATCATTTCTCCATTTCTTGTCTTTCATGCTCTCTCTTGCTGTGTTTTAGAATAGGAATTTACATATTTTTACAGATTTTTAGACTCTGAAATTGGTTAAATAAGCCTTTAAACATGCTATTTGCCATAGCTTCTGGAGTAATTGTCCCTAGACCCCCTTCAAGAAGTTCTAAGCTACCTATGAAATTGCCTTCCCCCTCCATGCCCCCTCCTTTTCTGGCAAATCCTGGCACCATTATTACTTATTAAACAGAAAAATCTTTTTCTTTCCTTTTTTTTAAAGTTGTTCCTACTGGTTATGAAAGGTCTCAAAGTTCTGATATTGAAATAGATGGTTATGATTCCATTGGCAGTGGTCCTGGTGTGACTAAAGAGGTACTGTATGCATTCTTTTTATTTTGTTCATTAGTCCTCTTGGATTAATTTGCTACCAGTCGTATGGTTCCTTGATAATCATACCTTATACAGCAGGGGTGGGCATAAAAATCGGTCGGAGGGTCAAACTGAATATTTGATTTAACATCGAGGGCCGCACCCAAAATTAGATGTTTCCATTGTGCTTCCAAAAACCTTCATGCACTGCTTTATGCCACTATGTGCTAAAATTTATTAATATTACTTTTTACAGATGATTGGTGTCGGCCCGTAATAAACAATGTATTTTCTAGTCAAAGATGTCTAGCGGGCCGCACACATAGGGTTTTTAATTTATTTTCGTGGGCCGCAAAAAAATCACAGTTGGGGTCTTATAGGGTTAAAATGACTCCCCGAGTAAATTAACTCTCAGAAAAAAGTCTAATTAAAAACATATGAAAGGATAATATGGTGGCCTATTTTCAAAGGTACCAACTTTTTTAATTAACTACATGTTGGTTTTGATTAACTGTCTGAGGTTAAATTGTAAAAACCTCAAGTATTCTATTAAAGAATTTAACTTTCATTTTAAAATAAGTGGAGTTTTTTTTTTTTTTTTTAGCACACAATAGAATAGTATATATCTAATAATACATATATAATTACAGTACATGATGTTCATTGGATTTTTTAAAGGAATTACAACCCAAATAGTTTATCTTTGATCATACCACCCATTTTTAAAACAAATATTTACAAAGTAAATCCATTGTTGCAAGGAAAAAATCTTCAACAAAGCACCTGAGAGCAGTATAGTTCAGTCAGTTAAAATGTTAACCTTTGGTACCTGGTCCAATTCCATTCGCTGCTTTACTTGGGTTTCGCCTGAAATACAAAATATTTCCAGTCTGAAGAGATGTCAAGCCGTTGGTCGTATGGCCTATGTACATGGTAAAGAATTCAACGCACACGGTTGTTTCCTGGTGTACACCAGAAGGACTCTACAGGAAATTAGTCTGATTTCCGTGGTTTATTTTTGCTGTTTAAACAGAATAAATCTAATCCAATTATACCTGTATTTGAATGTTCTCACTAACCTTTCATTGAATAAATTAAAAAAACTTTTAAAGAAATTAAATATGGTAGAGCCATGGCATTCAATCATTTATTGTAAGGTAGTTTGTAAATTGCAAGCAGTGAATTTCCTTTTTACTTATTATTGAATGAATAAAGATTCTGTGCCAGCATATACCATAGAACTGTATTGATTTTTCCATTGATCCTTAATAATTATTTACTTTTAATTTAATTTTAAATATTTTTTTTTACTTAATAGGATGCACGTAAAATGCGAAATATAGCTGATGAATTCAATGAACAGTGGAAAAAACCAATTCAGGGGATAGTGTCTGACTACACAGATGCATCAGAACATGGTTCATCTACCTCACTGAAATCAATGCTTAACACATACTTCCAGCAAAATCAGCTGATGTCCGATGACGATAAAAAAACTGCATTCGCTTTTAAAATTTTAGCTGATATTACAACTTGTGTTGTCAACTCAGAATATGTAAAGAATGCTGCAAGGGATGTGTGCGAGTTGGTAGATGGTTACTCTATGTAATTAATGTAAAATGACAAAATGTAGACTGAAGATTTTTGATATTTTTTTTTTTATTGTAATTTTTGTGTTCATTATTTCCATAAGCACTGATATTATTATTTTTTATTATTAAGAATGCTGTGGAATGAATGTGGTTCTCACATACCGTATACATGAATGTCCTTCCCATATTGGCAATCATCATAATCCCATATCCCATAATCACATTCCAGTCCTTACCACAATTGCCTCCTTCACACATCGCTTAAGCTTCCATTTTTAAATACTGTATTCAAAGAAATTCCCCACTTTGAATAAGCAAATAATGACTCCCTCGAATAAATGCCTCCCTCAAATAAATGCGCCTCCACCCCGCCCCTCCTTCCCAAAAAAAACCCTCAAATAAATACGGTACTCCTCAACATTCCTGATTCACACATTCCCATTCTTCTCCCTTTTCCCAAATTTCCTCTAATATACATTTCCTACCATTACAAATACCTTTTCTTTTTCCTCCCTTCCCACATTTGTTCATTTACACTTTCTTATCAGTCCTCTAAGAAATACCTCCTCGCTTTCCTACATGCCATTTATTATTTGAATATTTTGCTTCTCTTCATTTTTCTCTACTTTTCATACTTTCATGCCTCTTTCCCAATTACCATGCTTTTGGTATTCCATCCTCCTTTCCTACAGTAGATTCATCCCATTTCGACAACCTCTTCCTCTACATTTCATTATTCATGATTATTCTACAAAGTAGTACAGTAATATTAGTATTATTATTAATGATAATGTATTCCTTATCTATTATCTATGTGTGGACTTCGTATACATAGCTGGTCATTTGTTCAAATTAATAAATTATGCAAAAAAGGTAACTAGGTAATGTGTTTTTCTTTTTCATTATTGCTATATACTGTAGTATAAGTAATTAGTCATGTTTTGAGTACACTATAGGAAATATATTTCCTGAGTAAATTTCCTGATGAAGGCAATTTTTGAAGGAATAATGGCTCCTAAGGCTTCTGTTTCCTATAATGTATGAAATTGTACTTGACAGTAATTGCTTTATAGAGTCAGTTGTGACGTCCAATAGGTTTTCAATTAGTGACCACCGTGCAAATAGAAGTGATGTAAGTCACCTCTGACTTATAATTAATATTCAAGTTTACTTGTTTTATTAGGCATAAGATGCAATGATTAATTTAGCCAAGTAACAATGAATCCTTGTTTCCCGTCCTGGGTTTTCCAAAATGTTGTTGAAGGAGGCACTTATTATTTGATATTTGATATTTTTCACAGTTTGTCAATATATGCCAAAGAATGTTCTCTGCTTAGCAAAATGTGTTGTAAACAATTTGTCAATACTGTAATTTGTCATTGCTTCTCTTGCTACAGTATTATCATGGTCTTTGTGTTTAAAAATGCATTTGTAAACTATAAAATGTGTCATCAATTAAAATTTTGCATTTTTGATGTAAAAAAAACCCCAAAATTTTAGAAATAACAAAAAACAAAAACATTTATGTCGCCCAAAAAGTGGTGAGTGAGGAAACAAGGAAATTTTGTTATTTGGCCTTGGTATTTTATTGAACTGTGCAATTTTTAATAATAAAATCTTCCAGTATCTGTCAACATCACAATCAATGTATTTTAAGAGCGGGTAGGATAACTTTCAGGTAATTTGGTAGTGTACCATAGTAATATTAATTGCATAAAGAAATACATAAATATGTTTTAATAATGCACCATAACCTTAAAATATCAAACAAGAACTTGTCTGATAATATTTTGTGATAAATACTTAATCAGTCAAAATTAATATCCTCACTGTATTGAAATAATGTCGGTATAACATGAGCATATAGTTTGGGCAATTCACATTGTAGTTAACCACACCAGTACCATATTATATTTAAGTAATATGCAAATAAGGGCTTACCACATGACTAGAGCACTAGCAGAACAAAGAAGTCCCTGGCTAAAGGCTGCATTGGGTCCTTCACTGGGGGATGTGGTTGCGTACGGTGCAGTTTTTGACTTCTTAGTACTCTATCCAGGGCCCATGGCTTTAGCCAATGAAAGCTCATGAAACTGGACTACAGACTTGACTAGTATTTTCATGTTTTTGATGTACTTTTATAGCATTTTTAATCACCATGTTACTAAATTTGTACAGTTCATATTTCTGAGTTTGGGGATGGTTATTAATTTGATTATAATCAAATCATTCATTAAATTACACTTAAAGCAAAATGTTGTATAGTACAGTATTATAAGAGTTTGTCAATGATCAATTAATGATATTCCAAGAGGTAGTTAATCAGCTTATTTCTGGACACTCAATTAATTTGACAAACTGCAAGGCCGCTTTTCTTTGATTTAATTTAAATTTATTTGGAAAAAAGACAAGACTTAAAATATGTACTGTAATTATTGTAGATCAACATTTTTTTTTTATTGTATAAGCAAGTAAGTTGTGTAAGTGCGTTTCCATTATCTACAATTTGCAGATGATTAGGCCTATATACAAAAGTAAAATAATGTTAACTATATAGTGAATTATTATTCAGTGTCTAAAAATTATGATTAATATAGAGTAAAAACTTCTAAACTTTTGTTTGAAAATATATTCAGAGTTTAATCAATTGGTTTTTGTGGAAAGTATTACTAATGTGTCCATCTGATTAGTGATGAAGCTGCATAAAATCTTTCTACTGGCTGAATGAAACGGAAAACATCTTTAAATTATTTCTACTGCAAAATACTAACAAACTATAGAAAGATTGCTAAAGCTCAAATGCACCTGTAAGTGGCCTGACATAGGTTTTATCCCATCAGTCTGTTTACCAGATATACTATTGTTGAACTAAAAAAAGATATACTGTATGAATTCCTTATTTCATTAAATGGAGATTTATTTTATAAACTGTAAAATATACTTATGCACTCATTCTTAGGTTGGTTGGTAATCAATTAAATATTTTCGTAGCAAAGCTTAAATAATTGTTTTTAATCTGTGTGTGATTGGAAGTTGATTATTTGATTCATTTAATGAGCAAAATAAACTTTTTAAAAAAAAATTTCTACGACACTAAATATGATGCTCATTGCAGGCATGAGCCTGAGTTCAATTTGCACTAGCCATTGCATGAACAGAATCAAAATGCAAAATTGAATTAACATGGTAAAGCAACATGGAAATATGCTTTTAATGTTTTTGTGTGTTCCAGATTTGTCATGTGACAGTAAATCTTCAAATGAATATTTAATAATTTCTTTGTTAAAAATTAAATTTGGTTTGTTTCAACTCTCTATAGTGTATACCGTATTTTAAAATTTAATAATTTAATATTGTGTATTGTACTTGGGGTTTTAAATCCTCATGCTTAAAAAGCATACAGTAGTGATTGAAAATAAGTTTATGTTTGCTAAATGATTACCAAGTTGAGTTACTAATTTTACATGTTTTATTCACAAATCCATGATATGTGATGATTACAATTACTGGGGCATTAAATGCAATCGGGATTTATATAATCAAATGTAAAGCTATTATTTTTATTATTACTGTAATTCTATACTGTTTAAATAAATAACACTACAATATGGAACCTTGTGTGTTTATTTTGTTTTTATTAATTTTGTTTATATTTTGTTTATAAACTGAATTTCATTATTAATAATAGGAAATGTACAGGAGGTGTGCTTCGCAGAATGTACTTGGACTTTGTAGATCTACTGCTCTGTTATCACCTATGCTTCGATTTCAATAAATTTGATCATTGATTACAATAGACTAATTGGTTTTACCACAATAGACTGTGGGTTTACGCAATATTGTCTCGAAAATCATTGTGGGTTGGAAAATCATATATTTTAGGATGTGATGTCACTCTGGTTATTATTATGACAGCGCACATAGCGATGATCTGAAACAATGGAACGCTTGTTTGTTCATCCGTGAAAGTAACTGTCTGTGTTCAAAAGCAATTTTAGAAATCCACTAAAAAGCCCCGATACCATTGTATTCTAGTATACTGAGGCAGACAATTGTTTAATACTAAACAATAGGCCAACGATATTTATAGAATGTCAAAAAATTTACCAAGAGATAACTTACTAATAGGGTGCGCATATGTGATTATGCTATGTAAACTGGACTTTGGACCTTAATTAGGATAAATGATCTGCTCATCCAGAATATTAAAAAGAAATTTTGTACTGTTTTTATCTTTCGCTCACCAGACAACATGTATAAATTCTTCTATAATATTTTATATTAACTCATTTCCTTAGAACTACTTTGAAGGTTCTGTAGTCTATAGTCTTAAAACGAGAATACTTTTATATACGTGGGCGATTAATTGCATATATAACATGAATAGTTGAATATAGAAATATATGTATCATTATATGGTACTTAGCCTAAGAATACAGAAGAGTCCAGTGACCAGCATTTATCCAATTTGGGGGTGGGGGCTTCTGGGCATGTGGGGTCGAGACAGCCCGCGGAGCTTGAGTGTTTAAATAAACTTTACATTAAGATAACAACTGGCACTTTAATGTAAATATATTATTATAAAAAATTATCATACAAAACAGGGGCGGATCCAGAAATGTCCAAAAGGGGGGGCCGGAATGGGGGGCCGAAAGTTGGGCCAATTGAGACAACACTGTCGTAGGAGGTCCGGGGCATTCCCCCGCGAAATTTCTGTGTTCTAGACGACCAAACATAACATTTGAGGCATTCTGGGCTATCATTTTTTTCTATTTCTCTCTATTTTTTTCTTTTTTTACCTCCCAAAAGGGGGGCCGGGGCCGGGCCGGCCCCCCCCCCCTAAATCCGCCCCTGCAAAAGCAAACATTATTGTGACAGAATACTGTACCAGTATGAATTTAGGAAGTTTTGCCAAAGGAGGGTTTGCTAGAACCCTTAAATACCACTCTGCCCAACAAGGACACATACGGCCGTTAAGAAATGTGGTTTACTGAATTGTTTATTGTGCCTATATAGTACATGGGGTATTTTGAATCCTGTAATTGTTTTGGCGAATTCTGTTGACGTTTCTGGTTAAATAATTGAATGAGTGAAGAATTATTCAATATCTTTTATATAATTCAAGATAATGAATACGTTTTAGAAGCGTTCTCCCGAAGCCTGTACGGCATTATACCCTGAAGGGATTCAAAATACCATCCAATCATTGTTCGATTTCGTAGCAGCAGTAGTACAAAAACAAATATTTGTGTATTGTAATAATATTTTTAAAAAGTAGGCCTACCTAACATGACTTTTCTGTATTAAATCAAGCCGATATTTGACAATCAGGAATGTTCAAAATTCTGGAACTCCATTAAATTTAGGTGTAACACACGTTGTGTCGTATCAGTTTGTAACAAGTGGTGTATTTATGATGTTAACTTCAGGGGCGGATCCAGAGGTGTCCGGAAAGTTGGTGGGGGGGGGGAGGGTGGTGGGGGGGGGGGGTGACATCGAGATATAACACTCTCTTAGACGCCCGGAAATATCCTTTGAGGCGGTTTTGGGCCTTACTTTTATCCCCCGGGCCCTTTGTTTTTTATTTTCCAAAAGGGGCCCCTAAGTCTGCCCCTGAACTTTAAAATACCAATATTTATCTATGGAAAATTCATGAATTTTAGACCTAACTGCCTCCCCTCAAACCCGCCTTGATAACCACATAGCATCCTCAATAATGATATAGTTTATAGACACTAGTTTATAGACTGTAGTATATACGGTATGTTTAGCATTCCCTTGAATCTCACTAGAAGTGGAACATCCCTGAGTGTCCAGCATACCCGAGTCAGGTACCTGACAACTCACCAATCAAAACTGGTTTCCATGGAATCGCTACACCGTCGCTATAGCGTTCTTACTGCCAGTATTGAACGCTCCCTGATTCAACTGCCCAATAAGTGACGCCAAATGAGTCGGCGATAGTGTGTAGTGATTTTTTCATGGAAACCAGTCTATGCTCAACACCATCATGTTTTCACCGGGCGTTCGTACAATGTAGAGCAATTCAGGCGTGTGAGCTAAAGCCTGGTTTTTAAAAAATTGCTAGGCCTACACTGTCACTTCAGCATTTTCAATGCGATCGTTGTACTGCGTAGCTCGTAGCAATCAGGCTCCCCGATTCGACCGACCAATCAGCATCACCGAAAGCTATCGACGATATATAGCGTGTAGCTATTGTATGGAAACCATGCTCAAGCGTGAACCAAGGTGTGAAATACAAGCAACGCTTTGTACTAGGTAGTGAGGGCGTATTGCGTTGCTTGTGTGAACCAATCCTTAATGGGAATACAGTTTAAAATATGTTGACGATGTGTAACCAAAATCCGACAATCGACCGCCAGATCTATGATATATTTATTGGAATACTTGTTGCATGTATGATCTTCTGGTTAAAATAATGTGTAAACAGGAACATGCTTTCTGAGCTCCGTGGTTGACGTTTGAATATTTCGAAACATGATCTCGCAAAATTCTTAATCTTTTCTTTGTATATACTCATTTCGAAAGAGATTATTAAAGTACAATGAGGGTTAATAACCGTTGTTAATATCCTTTGATGCACTACTGCATTATGAATATCCTTGCCTGAAAAATTATGAGCATGAAGTAACTTAATCTATTTCACTGTACGTCATTTTACAACTTTTAATGAAAAAGAGACTTCAAAAAAAGGCAAGCGTTTGTCTAAAGCAAAAGTGTTTGTACATTTTAATTATATTCATATTATTATTCATTTTTATTGGACACATTCGTTATAAATGTCATTTTAACTTTTACCAATAAAAACAATGGTACTTTTAATGTTATATAATTAATTTTTATGTAATAATAATGATATAGAAATTTGTCATGCAATTTAGTCGTCTTAGTTTTCATGTGAATAAACTGAAATAATTTTTGTAACAAAATAAAATACCATGCCTTACCCCTCCTTGTGTACAACGGTTGCATTTGTCACTTGTATTATACATTTTTAGTCTACAAAATGCTATATCATTGATATTGCGTTGTACCGTATAAAAGACGTCTGCGAAATGACATTCGTTCTCTTAAAACTGATGTGTCAGTATATATGTTGTTATTACTTTTCGAATTAAAATAACAAAATAAAATACCATACCGTACCCCACCTTGTGTACAACAATTGTATTTGTGAATTGTATTATACATTTTTAGTCTACAAAATGCTATATCATTGATATTGTGTTCTGACGTATAAAAGACGTCTGCGAAATGACATTCGTTCTCTTCAAACTGGTGTGCCAGTAGATATGTGGTCATTACTCTTCGAATTATAATCAAACGTATCGATACGCCCATTTACCGCATCCATTTCTAGACAGCATTGGACACATTTTATATACATGAAGTATCTTGTTCTATTACCGTACGCTATGATTGTCATTTTAACTTTTACTAATAAGGACAATGGTAATGTTATATAATTTCTTTTTATGCGTAATAATGATATAGAAATTTTTCATCCAACTTTAATAGTCGTCTGGCTGCGATTTCGATGTGCATACTGTAATTGAATTTTTTTTTTTTTTTTTTTTTAAATTTACAAATAAGGGTTTTCCACTAGGCGAATTTATTCGCGCGAATTAAAGCGTCGGTTCGCTTCCTGAGCTCTGATTGGTTGCGCATTTTTTCGCTTCGCAGAAACTCCGATAGGAATATGAACGCGCATGCGCATGAACCAATGCTTCCAATGCGAGAATAAATTCGCCTAGTGGAAAACCGGCTTTACCCGACCTATAAGCTCAGTCTACACTACCAAATTTTCTTTGACAAAAACTGTGCCATATATAGGCCTATTCATGATGTGCCTATGATATGGTCATGATTAGATGTCATCATGACCATATTTAGGTATGTCACTTGTGTTATAGTCTGGAAGGGGCTTTACAATACAACGATTATATTTGTCACCATATACAAAATACTATATCATTGATATTGCGTTGTGACGTAGCCTATAAAAGACGTCTGCGAATTGACCTTCGTTCTTTTCATACTGGTGTGTCAGTAGGTACCGGTATGTGGTTATTGCTCTTTGAATTATAGTCAAACTTATCGATACGCCCTGTACATCGTCCATTTACCGCATCCATTTCTAGACAAAGAAAAAAAAAATCATTAACAACATCAAGGATACAAGGAACAAGTTGCAATAGGCCAATATAACCACACCTAATATTAGAGATGAACAATTATCTTCCGATTGTGCTTGAATTTCGTTTTAATAAATTTAGGAAGCAGGGATCACGCTAGAATTTCTAGACGTTTTGTAGTAAAGCTTGGTTTCCATACAATCGCTACACGCTATCGCGAACAGCTTTCGGTGATGCTGATTGGTCGGTCGAATCGGGGAGCCTTCCCAATTGCGGCGTGGGCTGCTACGCAGTTCAATGATTGTACTTAAAACACTTTAAAGCGACAGTGTAGCGATTTTTAAAGAAACCAGGCTTTAAGCCCGACACACCAATATGCACCGAGTCGACGGCTGAAGCATTCACATGAAGAAAGAAGCGCGCGCAACGAATATTCAATGACGATCCACCCAGACAGGTATCGACAGTCAGCAGATGACATAGCGTCGTCAGTCAATCCCACTGCCGACCGTCGTACGACTGATCGGCTTTAGAATAATCTGAGGCCCGCTATTATATTTTATTTTATACCCCTATGGTTGTGCCAAGCCCTTTATTGTTCGCCTTGTACCACCAAACATTTACTTAGGATTTGATTTCTTACCCATTTCAAGCAGAGCAATCTCCTCCTCTTCTGATCCTGACTCACTCGGTGTTTGTTTCTGTCGTCGCTCTTCCGCAGCCGCTTGTCGTTTCTTCAAAAGAAAAAGTTTGGGACGTTAATATCAACTAAAAAAAAAAAGTCCTTTTCAGAACTATCTACGTGGTGGAACACAAGCAGCCATTTACATTATTATTACTTCGTCATACAAACCTTCGAACAAAAAAAAGCTTAATTACAACTGTTGTTATAAACGACGTCAGCGGCGTTGCGAGGTGGTGACGGGTCACAGTGCAAGATAATTACCGGGCCCTAAAGGCACCTGATCTGACCCAGAGACAGAGGTGGGTACTTAGGCGAAACTCTTATGCTCATACATCTTGAAATTGTTTACAACAAATACGGCATTGTAACTAGCATAAATATTTTAAAAACTACTTAAGCATATTCAAGGATATTAAGAACAATAAAAATAGTCAAACGTAAAATATATTTTATCGCTTATAGCCTATTGGGAATTTCATGAGTTTAATATTGACAACAATATAACAATCAATGACCTGATAGCAGTAAAACGTAGGCCTTATCATAAAGTATGATGGCCTGGCGTGATTAAAATACGGGCGCAATATAGTTGAACCAACTTTAAAATATCAAACAAATACGTGCGTGCCGGTGTTTTAATTGCTTTAGAAATAGGAGTGATGTTTTGCCTTTAATAGAAATATGCTTTCAAAAACGTACTTTAGTGCATCGTAGCGTAGTACGAAGCATACGTTAATGGCGGTAGAGAATATCCTTAATTGTATTCAACGATACGAAGCTGTTCATGAGATTTTTTTTTTGTGTAAAGTCATCCTACTTTTAATGTTTGATGGCACGTAATAGGTAAATCACTGGCGGCATTGTCCATACCTACGCCACAGAACGACGTAAGTACTTTTGTTAGTGGTGAATTCGATTATAAACACGATGATTAAAATTATATCTTACGGTTGATATATCAGATCATTGCAACATGAATTGGGCAATACAATAAATGACTTCCTGGAAGAAAGATAACGTTTATTGAAAAACCCCATCGAAACTTCAATTACTTGATTGCTCTTTCGAAAGACCGAATAGGCTATCAACTTTCATTTAGACGCAGATCGAAGCAGTTCAGTTTCAGATTATTTACAAATAAATTGATTACAAGACAATATTAATAAAATGGTATTTTATGGATGTGTAAAAGTAATATTTAATATAATTAAGTTTGTGGCAGACCGTATTAAAGTCTTTGATATAATGGTATGTTGTAGTCTAACGATTTTATTTGCGTGCCCCAATGTGCATTCACACCGAATCCGAATTTTCGGATAGGAAAGCCTACCGAGGATCAGGAAGTCGAATAATGTGTACAATAGGGACGCTAACGTTCAGCGCTTTGGAAACGCGGTCAGAATTGCGGCCCGGATCCTATGTAAATGCAACTTTATGCTCTTGAGGATATTTCCCGTACGATTAAAATCGTAACGGTACTGGGTTTGGTTTACAGGAGCTCGTGTTTCGTACAGGTCATTCCATTCATAGAAAAAGCGTACCTGTCATTAGCCATAGTAGCCTGGGTCAATACATAACACCGGCTGTATAAAATTTATTATAAGATTAAAAATGTTAATCCTATTATTGTAGTAGTGATACTATGTACACGTTTTAGGTATTGTTATTTATTCATTAACGTTATTATATTAATATTTAAATTTAATGTATTGTTTAAGTATGAATTACTATGTCCATGTTAAATTAATCTTTCTATTAAAATTGTTTATTTAAATAATATAGTAATAGGCATAGCCGAGGTCTAGCCTAAACTAGCATAGGCCTAAAAAATTGACTATATGTGAGTGTATAGAATTATGAAAAATAGGGAAAAAAAACCCCGCAAAATTGTGAAAGAATAAAGGAAGAAGGAAGAATAGGAAAGAGATTTGGAGCGGCTGAAATATTAACCGAAAATATACAATAGTAGTCAATATGCTATTATTGCATTACGTTTTTGTAAACAATTTTGGGCACTAATCGTCAGAGGTCTCGGTGCCACAGCCTACACACTTTTCATAATTCGAAATCGAATCGGACCTTAAGTGATTTCCAAAATCTCTTTATATGAAATAAAAAATAATTAATGTTTAGAAAACAAATTAAAAAAAATTTCTTACCTGGAAGTACGTACGTATAAATGTACAATATGATCAGATGAACATAATCATGAGTACATCTCAGTATGTGTATGTGCATGTGCTTCTGTTGTTTGTTCTGCTATAAATGATGATGAACGTTCTTTTCCGTCTGTTTGAAAAATTTGCGCGTGTAGATAACGCGTGTCATTTTGTTATATATTTATACGCATTGTTCTGTATGTTGAGGATATTTCCCGTACAGATTCGTGTGACATCAAAGTTGATAGTGTCAAAGAACTTAATAGCAGAAGAATGAGCTGCTCCGCGTATTTGCATTAAAATCGATGGAACATCCGCCCTCCTGCGGTTGCAGTAAAATTTGAACATTTTACTAAGTGGAGAAACTAAGGAAACACGCGAACAAGAGCAGCGCCTTTATTATTTTTATATAGCGCCGCCACGCGGTTGCAGTAAAATTGCTCTCCGTGTACCCACAATGCCTTTTGAACGGATGTTCCACTATATTGGACAGAGCTTAATGAATTAAAGTTTAGTGACTGAATAATCTCTATGATGTATGTATAATATAGGCATAAATCAATATTTACCTTCACTTGCGCCTTCCATTTTAGTGTAACTCTTCCAGCTAGTTCTTTTTGGTGTTCCTTCTTGTCGTGGTATGCTTTATATTGTCGTTCTATAATGATCATGAAAAAACCGGCAACTATTGCAAAAGCAATCAGTAAAAATGTTCCTGTGCGAGAAAATTTAACCCAGAAATTTGAATATACGGTTTAATCAACATACAAAATGTAACAAATTGTTATTATTTATTGCTGAAAAATGTGAAATACCATTGAAATTTTACTTAATGTTGAGTACAAAAAAGTGTGGTGGTTTCAACAGAGTGTTTGTCTTTATCCTCACAAATAGTGTCGCTTCAATCGTCATTATGGTGTGTTGCAATAACTCTGAAATTCAATTTAGTAACTAGCTGAATTGAAATGTTCGTCAAGCCTAATGATTATGTAGGCCTATATAGGGCCTATGTAAGTATATATCCATAATGCGGTCAAGTCCAATACTAACCTCCCATATTTTCAAGACTCAACGTTGCTGGCTGATTGCCCACTACTGGACAATTCCGATAACTGATCCACTCCGATTCTAGCCTTTCCATTACACCACCCTCTTGGAAATGTAAAATCGCCAGTGATACTTCTTGAGTCCACAAACTTTCTTTCGGCAGCCCGATACCGAAACCCGACTTGCCGAACAGTTCTCCGACCGTGACGAGATTACAGTCTCGGGAGGTCTGGTAATCTAGCATCGCTGAATCCCATATGAACGCATCGAGCTCCCTGCGAGTATAATAATAGTTGAGCGATCACTTGAGTCGAGGAATAGATTATTACAGAGTGCTCGGCAGTGGCGGATCCAGGGGTGGCACAGGAGACATTCAGCCATTACCCCTCTCCGCGTAGCAGCCAGAAAATCATTAACAAAGTTTTTTTTATCATTTACATAGGTAGATTAATTAAAATGGCTACAACTCCGGAGATTCCAGAAAGCATAGCCGTCTGGACCCCAACATTCAATAGGACCTCAATCTCGTCCCGACTTGACCCTTACCGGTAGGTCCTCGTTGCCACTTGCGAAACCCTGGCAAAAAGAGAACTTGATCCGCCATTGGCTCGGCTAACAATCGGTGAGATCAAAGCGACTTACCCTTCTCTGACAGCTTCGACAGCAGCATCTGCATTTACGTAATTGAATGTCTCCATGAATGTATACATTGTTGACAGTTCAACTTGCCGGCGGAAGTAAGCATCCACTGAGCTTCCTTTAACGGTTGCAAACTTGAACGTATTCGATGGGTTGCGCATCTATCATTATACAACGAATAAAATATAATTAACAAAATAACGTTGATTATTACACTATATAATGTTTGCAATGTAGGCTATTCATTGCGTCAACGACCTGCATGCTGACAAATTGCGCCAAACAATTTGAGGATGTTCACACAGAGTCAGGGGTGGCGCCAG